CCGCGAGCCTGCGGGGCAGGCCCTGTTCTTGGTCATGCATGTTGGGTCGTAACACCGTGATCGATGGCCCTATATCTAGGGAGACCGTCATGGTCGTGGAATTTAGCTCGTATGAGCTGATGTTGAGAGATGATAGTGTAGTGGGCCGTAGCCCTCCATAACCGTAACAATTACTAACAGTGGATACCTTTCGAGGTATGTGTGTCGCTCTGAAATAGGTGATGCGAGCGAGTGTGGGCCTCGGTGATCATGTAACCGAGGTCACGTGACGGGTAGTGAGGCCACAGATGGTTGAAGCCATCACGACACAGTGCCGCTGAGCTGTACCAATTTCTTTTCCGAAATTTGCCCGAGTCATTGAACAGGAACGTTAGGTGAAGACGGTAGCCTGTAACATAGTTTAGATTACCATAGACCATGTCGGCATAGCGCCCGGCACGTCCTTTTGTTACCAGACGTTAAATACATCATCATCATCATCATCATCATCATCATCACCGCTGAGCTGTTGGCAACGGCACTTGAGTAGTTCCCTGCGGAACCCGTTGCTGTCGCTGCCCCTGTGCCGGTCATCGTACCGGCGAGTGCAACAGCTCCCAAAGACAAGGAACGTCGATGGCCGATCTTGTCAAATGTCAAGAAAGTGATGATGTGGACGGCGAAGCTGCATCCAGTCACTATGAGATTCGTACGTAGAGGATCCGGGAAGCCGAGCTGCTGCATGAAAGTGACGATGAAATTCTGAATGAAGGAGACGCCTTGGGCTTGCTGAAGTATTTGGACACCCATGGCAATGATGGTGCGACGGAGATTAGTTCCCTTGAAGCAGTCTTTAGATGAGGTCGCCTTGTGCAGTTCTCGCTGTTCCTCCACTTGGGCTTTGAGTAGTTGGACTTCCTGTGGGATGGTTTCTGGGCGATTTGATAGCCTTGTGAGCACTTGCTCTGTCTCTTCGTACTTCCCACGGTAGATGAGATAGCGTGGAGACTCTGGGAGGAACGGATATAGGGTCGCGTATCCCACAGGAACGAATAACTGGCAAATAATTACGATCCTGTGTAATATGTAAGCTAATACAAAATGAATCAGAAGCCGCTGATGGACCCCACAGATATTGCCATTGATCGGTGCGACTCCGTGAAAAGTATACTGCGATGGCAGACAAGAAAACCCCCAGGGAGAGGAAGAAGCTGTATCCCATCGAGTGCGGATTAACGTCAAAAACGCCAAGGCCGGAACTGCCCACTATTGTACCCACTCTTACTCCGCACTTCAATGAGTAAATGACGAAACATCATTTAAACCTTTGTTTTCTTCCTTACTGTCACCACTAAAATCATCATTTTGTTTAATGCCGCGATGTCTTCTAGCGATTCCTATGCCTCCGGGGCTTCCGGGGCTTCCGTACGGAGCTATATTATGGTTGAGCTCCTTCCTGAAGACCTCGCCGTAGCTTGCACTGCCGATTGTACGCCGGAGCGGTACGATAACAGTACAGTCCGGCCCCACGAACCCCCGGCCGTTGAACGCGGGCGGGCCGCGGCCGGGCACCTTCAGACCCTTTGCCGTACCGGCCCGGGGCCGAGGGATACGGGACCTACCGGCAGCCCCGCTTGACCTATTTCTCTAGTATGTCCCCCGGGACCTTGTTGAGCAGTGGGCGCAATGGACGAATACGGCGCCGTTATTTAAGGAAGGCCCCCGGGCTAAACGGTCAAGAGTGTATGAGTGGAGAAAGACCTATCCCATTGACTGCTGCAAGACGCCAAAAAACGGGTGGTCCACAAAAGCGCCCACTCTTACCCCGCACTTCAATCGGTACAAGACGAAACATCATTTACCCCTATGTTTTTTTACCTACTAACACTAGTTACCAAAACCATCATTTCAACCAATGTTACGATGTCTTCTAGTGATTCTGATGCTTCCGATGCCTCTGTAACTACCGATACCTCTTTACGGAGCTGTATATTTGTTAAGCTCCTTCCCGAAGACCTTGAAGTCGGCTGTACTGCCGACTGCACCCCGGAGAAGTGCGATAATAGCACAGTCCGGCCCCATGAGCCTCCGGCTGAGCCTGGCTTGCCCGGCTCCTTTATACCCTTTAATATACCGGCCCGGGACCGGCAAATACGGGACTTACCGGAAACGCCGATGTTGGTTTGCGTGTACCACAGGTTAGTCACACAGGTATTCCTGGTATCGCGATCGGTAGCAATATCGTTGGGTTAATCTGGTGTTCTTGTTGTTGTTATTGTTCTTGTTAAGGAGAGTATCTAAACGCGAAGGCTCGTGATATGGAAGGAGGGAGCTGAGGTGTGTCACGTGCCGAAGACACGTGACATAGCTCGGCTCCGTGTATACCTAGCGATTGCCGTTTGTTCCCACAGCCGATTAACCTTTTCCTCCGATACGTTCCCCGGAGACTTGTTGAGCAGTGGGTCCGGTGGACAAATGCAGCGCCGATATCTAAGGAGGGCCCTCAGCCTAGACACTCAAGAGTGTATAAGTGGAAAAAGACCTCTATAGAAGAGGTATACCTCTTCTTAGGAGTCCGTATTTATATAGGGATCCATAAGGAGTATGAACTATCAAGATACTGGGCAACTCAGCAAGAGAAAGAGGACCCTATTCATCTATTTACCCGGTTTATATCCCGTGACCGTTACCAAAGACTATCCCGGCAGCTGCGGATATTCGATACTTCTGAGTTCCCTAGTCAGTCTAGCCATGGCCGGTGCCGACGCCGGCCCCAGGACAATTCAATACCGGATACGTATCGGAAGGTTAACGGGTGGTCGGCCCATATCCAGGATACCGGGGACTCCTTCTATACGGCCGGCTCTGACCTTACCGTTGACGAGGCTATGGTCCGATTCACGGGCCGGTCCCTTGAGACAACAACAATCCCGACTAAGCCGATCCCGACTGGCTTTAAAATATGGATTCTTGCCCAATCAGGCTACTGTCTCCGGTGGCTCTGGCATATCCACGGAAAGGGCCCGTACGGGCTAGTCCCACAGGCCCGGCCAACGCCGGATGACGAGGCGGCAAAGCAGGCCCTTTTAACGCCGACGCAACGGGTTGTAACGACCCTAGTTGCCCTACTTCCGGCTGCAATCTACCACGTCTTTTTAGATAACCTCTTTTCTTCTGTCCGGCTCTTTAGGGCTCTCCGGAAGCAGCAAGTCGGAGCTTCTGGCACCTGCCGGAAAGATAGCGGCATAGATAAGATCCTTATTGCCGAGAAAGCAACTTGTTGGTTCACGGGGTCGTATACGACAAATAGTGGTAGCAATCATCACTCGTCTGTTGGTGATCCTATTGCTTGTTCTTCTTGTTGTTGTTCTATCTTACATTGTAGGCAGGAGTCGGTCGAAGTAGGTAGTGACGGCCTGGGTGGTTGCCCCACCTTTATCCGGCCGTGATGACTAAGCCAGTTGTCCCACTTCGCCCAGGGCAGGTGCCAGCCAGCCCATGGTACCTGCCTATTACTCCTTATCAGCCTTTGCTGTTCCAACACAACTGAAGGACAAGATATCCCTTGGGGCAAGATACATTATATCCCTACTTTAGATGGGGAGGTATAGTGTTATAGACTACCTTCTAAGGATATCTCTGGGCAAGCTAAAGATAAAAGGAATACCTCTATTCCTTGGCAACACCATACAAAGGGATCGAGACAGGTTAATTCGCGGTGCTCTTATTGCAGCAGTAATGGTGCATTATCTCGCCGAACTGCCTTATCCGAGGTATCTGGAAATAGCCTTGCGCAGCCACGGCCTAGATACACAAGAAAGGGCTGCTTAGACTGCAATGTACCGCTTTGTATCAACAGAGATTGCCGGTACCTCTGGCATAACCAAGATAACTAGAGAATAGAAGTACCGGAAATTCTAGCTTATCATTGGATAGAGTATATGAAACCACAAGCCCTTATTGGCCGTACCCCGCATGGCGTCTTGCAGCAGTCAATGGGATAGAAGAGAATTACCTCTTCTTAGGAATCCCACTTTATATGGGGATTCATAATAAATCTCAAATATCAAGATACTGGTCAACTCAACAGCAAAAGGAGGATCCCATCCATCTATTCACCCGGTTTATCTCCCGGGACCGCTTCCAAAGTCTACTCCGGCAGCTACGCATCTTTTATTCCCTGGCAGCAGCATCGTCAGGGGTCTAGGAAGGCTTGTTCGCCATGTTCCTATTATAATAATACGGCAGCACTAAGATCTCGCCAGGCTCTTAGTAATACAACTGGGAATAGCCTCAAGCGGCAACGTAGGTTCACTCGGAAAGGCTGCTTAGATTGCGACGTAGCTTTATGTACCAGGGGGGATTGCTGGTACCTCTGGCAGAAATCCTAGTTATTCATTGGTTGACTCCAGTGGCCTCGCAAGCCCCTATTGGCTCTACCCCGCCCTGGGCGTTTTTGACGTTAATCCGCACTCGATGGGATAGTGCAAGAAAAGCACCTGAAAGACTCGTCAGAATAAACAAAGGCAAGGCGAAGCCTCGTTGAATCACCTCTAATCCGTGGCGGAGCGCATTCCGAGAGATATATGGGGGGTGACGTTGGAGGTAAGCTCCATGCCAGCGTACACCAAGATCCGCCCAACCACAAGCTGCCAGAACGATGTAACCGCAGAAGACTCAAGCACCACACCAGTTCCCATAAGAGCTGAGATTACAAGGAAAGACTTCTTTCGACCGAGCCTAGAAGTGACAAGAGGAGCTATAATGCAGCCGATGATGATACCAGCGGAGCCAGTACCTGTCCCGACTGATGTTTTCTCTGCTGGAATGGCGTATCGCCCGAGTTCATCGCCCGAGTTCATCATCATAGGCACCGTACTTTCGTTGGAATTGGGATAGACCCAAAGCGCCTCCCCACCACCCGTTGTCGAAGCCGAAACCCATGGCGCCGAGGTTGGCAACGCAGCCAATGAGGACCAGCCGCCAGTTGAGGTCCTGGTACAAGGGATCATTTTTAAGTCTTGAAAACATAGTTTCTGAGAGATTAAGAAACGAAAGATCTTTTGGAAAAACACTCGCCACGGCAATAGTCTGTCAATGTTCTCTCATAGCATACATATACCCTATTTGACGTGGTTGAGTTGGTGCGGGGAGCTCCGGGGATGAGATATTCTATCCCCGCGTTTCCCCAGACTCCGTTCGCATGGATCGATTTAGTGATGCCCCGAGAACTCATGTCAACGATCACAAACGAAGAAAATTGGAAGCGGCAAGTTTAAGCACCTCTACTGCCGTGACCGGACGCACATCTGGCAGGGAAGTTGGACCTCGGCTGTTGTTCTGCTCGTCTGTGCGGGGCAGAATCTCTCTTCGGAGATCTCTCCGGCGTTTTGGACGGAGTAAGCTTATTGCGACGATCTCGAGAGCTGACAAGGGGGGCCATTTTATCTGCAGCGTCTTCCAAAAGGGGCAAAGGGTGGCTCTCGCTTCCTTTATTGCAAAGGATCCCCAATGGGAACTGATATCTAATCAAGCGAGCCGAGCAATTGTTCGTAGATGGAGAGCTAATGAGGCATTGTGGACAACGAATACCGGGGTAATATCACTGGTTTCAACGGAAAACTTTTGGTTCCAACCCGCGCGTCACGTTATCAATCACTTGATGAAACTTTTCGCAGCACGACGATGTTTGTAGATAATATGTGCACATTGACTAACTAGAGCCATAATGAAGAATAATGTACTGTCGAAAAGGGAAACACGCTACGTCCACAGAGCACTATCCACCACTGATATCCTTCACGCTTAGCAGATGTTGCGAGCGCCGTTGCCGGAAAGGTTCCACTTGATATTCTGGCCGCAAGGAGACTCGCGAACGGTGGTGCCGTCGACCTTGGCAGTGATGCTGATGTCGCGGGTAATGGGGAACTCGGAGCGGGCAGAGAGACGGACCTCGCCGCCGCCGTTGACGGTACCGCCCTTGATGGTGACGCTGTAGCAGTTCTCAATGAGGATCGCGTTGTTGCCGTTGTTGGCGAGGTCGATGCTGCCAATTTCGGCGCCGCCAGACTGCGAGACGCAGAAGATGCCGCGGCCGCCGCCACGGGAGACAACCTTTGTGACGTAGACGTTCGTGGTGTAGGCGCCGTTGGCGAGCTGACCGTTGTTGTTGGCGAAGCGGAGCGTTCCGTAGCCGGTGCCCGCACCAATGTTGTTGCCGTCGACGAGGCCGACCTTTGCGTTGGTCGTCTTCTGGAGTAGCAGTCCGGACTCGCCGCAGTTCTTGGCAATGACCTGGTCAATGGTCAGGCCATCAATGTTCCAAGTCTCGACAGCGTGACTACCGGCGCCGTTAACTGTGATGACGCCCATCTTGACGTTCGTGTTGGCGGCCTGGTCGCGGTCGAAGCGGATGCCGATTCCGCCGCTGAGGTTCATGTTGATGGCGCCGAGGGTGAGGTCTTTGGTGCCGTAGAAGCGGAGACCAAAGTACGGGTTTCCGGTCATGGAGAGATACGGGATCTTGACGCCAGAGGCGTTGGTCACTTCGATGGCACCGCGACCGGATCGGAGAGCGACGTTGATGGCTCCACAGCCCTCAAAGGTTTTGTCGCTCTGGATGGCGATGGTGCTGGCGCCGATGGAGCCCGAGGCGATGACAGAGACGCGCTGGCCGCTGCTGATGGAGTCGACGGCGGCCTGGATGGCGGCGCGGTAGTCGGAGCCGGAGTAGACCTGGCTGGAGCCCTTGGTCGCCACGAAAGAGCTTCCGGAGCCGGTAACCTTTGCGTCGGGCGTGCCGGAACCGCACTGGGCGGCGGCAGAGGAGGCGAGTGCCAGCACTGCCGTGAGAATGGAGTACTTGACCATGATTACGGGCTAGATACACGGGTGATGATAGAGAGAGAGAAGAAGTAGAATGTGTGGTAGCTCAAGAACCTTCTGCTCACAGGACTCTGGCACGGCGACTTGTTTATATCAGATAGCCCCCAACGACTCAACCAGGTGGATACGACGATGCTCTAGATGCGCGCCACTCCGATAGATGGTCCCACGGGGCAAGCACGTTCGTTGGAGGACGACATTGGCCCGGCCCCTAGACCGGGAATGCATTCTCCGCATTCATTTACCACGGGCTTGGAGGCGGCTCGGCATGGCTACAGAGTGGCTACGGGTGACCCGGGGTTGCCAACCGGTTGGAGAGAAATTGGGAAATAGAGTCGCCAGGTCGGTCGAGAGCTACACGAATGATACCCTAAAGAAGCAAAGAGGAAGATGCTTGCTCTTTGGCAACAGACCTTCCCGATTCATGCTTTTGAAACTTCCGTCCCTTGGCTCACACGTTGGGTCTTGGCACGACGCTGTCTTGGCTTGGCGTCACCTGTGAGATGATCGACAGAGCTGCTCTAGAAACAATGGAAACAGCTGAAGGCAACAATTGATGGAGCTCAAATGGAAGGATTAGTCCGCTTGAGCTAAGGACGACGCCGTTGTTGATTGACTCCGAGTTGCTTTCAATGCTTTCACTTCTTCGTTGTTACTCTTGAAGTTCGTATCCTTAGAGTCGATTCAACACTTGGCAGAGTTTGAACTCAAGTCTAGTCTAGACTGTCTAGATGTGCAGCACTATATTCAACGAAATGTCAAGCCTTGGCAGTACAGCGTACATGCTGGCGCAAGGGGAAGCGTCTCATATTGACAATACTTTTCACTTCAGACCACAGCCACGTTCTGGTGTGAGCTCAACTGTCCCACGAACACCAGATTCCGCATTGGATCCACTCAGCAAAAAACGTCATCTGTAGTTGTTTCTTGGGGGCTCCTCTAAATGATACGAGCAGACTTGCGGTTATAACGCATGGAGTTATTGGGCAGCGGAAACGGGGATTTTGAGACGGATTCTTCGGCTCACACTTAAATGCCCCGGCAGGAAGCAATTAAACATTGGCCAGTGGCATGGTCTTCTGGGCAGATTGGAAGACTTTATATAGTGGGCTCATGCACGATCCTATTCTCCCCCGCCATTTTGACTGATTGCTTCGTTACCTCTACCGACAGTCTGCAGATTCTCGTAGAATTTTCGTTCAGCTCCTGCAACTTGCAGAGCCAAGTGTCGCCTTCGAAGCTTGAAGATTGATAGGCATGGCGTTTGCTCAAACGCTCATGTTCCTTTTTAGGGGGAAGAAAATTGTGGAGAGAGCTGGTACTGACAAGAAAAGGTCGAATTAGTCCGTCTTGGCACGCCACAACCCCTCAGCCGGCAGATACGAGCTCGATTCGTGACCACTGCAGGGGACTTTAGGTCACTACTTGAGTTGCTGCTCATGCTGTCGCCAGTGCCAAGCGACGTTGAGATTGGGTTCAGAGTGAGGTCCCTGACCATGATGATTCGGCATTCGGCGAAAACGGGGCCGATCTAGGACCCGAGGGAGAAAAAGAGTTTCCAAAATCACCAAGAGACTGACGCGAAAGTTCTGTTTCTGTGGAATCAAAGATTGAACAGTGGGCTTCACGTTTGTATACATGAGTACTTTGCGTTGATGTTCGCACTATGATAAAAAATTACCCTTACTTAGGTAACAGAAAGCAAATCAGCATTCATCTCCGTCCTACCAACCCCTGTCTCTTACTGTCTCGTTGAGTGAAAGTTCAACCATGACTTGCTTGGCTTAGATCCACCACGTCCCGCATTCATCAACTTCATGATATATCTTTCTCAGTTCAATCGCACCACTCCCCATTAACCACTCCATCAACACCATTTTTCTTATGATTCGAAATGCCATTCAAAGAAGACACTTTAGCCTTCATTAATTTTGCCATGCTGGATCCGTCCCTCTCCTGAAGTCCTTGGTGAGTAGGCAATTCCGGGAACCGCGAGGCATGGTTGAATTCGCCAGGCTCGGTGTACTCGCACTGGCACCGGACATGACCCCTTACTTGCAGGGTAAAGATGTCTGGCCGAGAGTACTGACCAACGGTGTCGACAATACTCTTGGCCATGTAATCTCATCAAAGTCCAATTCGCCGTAAAGAAGGCCCTCAAAGGTTGCACTAGGGGCCTTGACGAGGGTGCGACCGTCCGGTGCAATAATCTCAGAGAAACCTCCTCCAATGACTGCGGTGTGAGGTCTCTCTTGGGTCTCGACAGGAGGATTCTTGGCATCATCCGTGTCTTGGCTTGGGATGAGACCGTTGGCGACGAGCCCCTTTTCTGTCTGAGTTGAAGATGCCAGAAGGACAAAGGTAGCACCTTCGACAGCCATGGTATGCGTAGCCATGGTGCAAGATTCGACAGTGTTGAAGAAGGGCATCTTGCCGACAGGCGGAAAGAGAATTGGCCAAGATGCGACGTGGATCTGCTCTCCCTGGAAGTACGTGTTGTACTTAAGAGGGGCTGCAGATGCTCGAAGCACTGCAGTCCGCCGACACGACCGATAGGTGTGGAAACGACGTTCATGGTGCAGTCTCCAGACTGTTTGCCGTTTAATGTTAGTTGGCTAGGACATATGCGAGAGAAGTTCGAGGGGTTGTCAACGTACTGCGTCGCCGAAAAGGATTCTCTCCTGGGCTGTAGGCTTGAACTTCCTTCGATGCAGCAGAATGTCTCCGTGTGGACCAATGAAAGTCTGCGCCATGTACAAGCTTCCACGGTGGCGCTCCGAAATCCCCAACAAACACATAATCTGAGCTTTCTTGACTGCCAGACGGATTTTCTCCATGCGTTTGGACTCGATGTCGATGGAATTGCGGTAGTATTTGATGTTGTACAGGAAGGTCTCCTTCGCAGCCATGGCGTGTATGAAGTTGGGGTAGCCAGGGATCCATAGCTCGGGGAAGGCAATGAGCTTTGCGCTGTTCGCGCCAGCTTCAGCGATCAGGTCGCATGTCTTTTGAGTTGCAGCTTCAACGTCGAACCTGCGAAGACAGGAGAGTTAGGGGAGATTGAGAGTCGTCAAGAGTTACATCACAAACTGGGAGTCTGGGACGCGTGATGGCTTTCTGGGGACTGACCAGCATGGTTCGGCTTGGACCACAGCAACCTTGACCGGTTCGTGGGGATCTCCGTGGACTTGCGAGTTCACGACTAAAGATTGAATGACAGAGATGCGACAACTTGTGGTGTTCCAAAAATGATAGAGCCGTTAAAACTTTGTATTTGTGTGTTCTTCGGTGCGAGATATTGGCAAGAAACAACTTGCATTGAGTCGATTCGGCCGAAGGGTTTTTGAAGCATTTATTTGTACATAGGCTCACAGTAAAGCACACATTCTTTTGACTTTTAGTCAAATGCCAAAGGTTTCTCGCCGCAACGATAGCGACCAGAAATATAGACGCGGTATCAAAGATAGTGGTAGTTGGTATCATTCTAAGATTGCCGTATATCAACATCCGGTCGGTATTTGGTCAGGAGACCCACCCACTAGTTATTGACTGGCCAATGACGCACCCATCAGCACCAGAGATGTTCCGGAAATCAACATACGATTACTATCTTGAGGTGGCTAGCTGATCTTACCAGGAGTCTAATTTAAGTGCTTCTGAAAGCGAAGAATGTCGCATGTCTCGATTGGTTTAATGGGCGAAGAGAAGTATAAAGTCCACGGCTCAACAGCATCATCAGCAAATACCTTACGTGAAGCTCCTTCCCGAAGTCGTTCACTCAAAGACAGTAGTGCAGCCCATAAAGCACGGTATATCACAAGGGCTAAATTTTCATCTACTGACCCGTATCATCCACTCTCATATCCACCCTGAAGAAGCCATGGGAGACAAGACAACATCTCTGGAGCCGTCTGTGACCTCTGGTGAAAATCATATTGGCGAAACAACAACAGCTTTCCCCTCTTGGGTTAAATACGTGCCCGGCCCTTCCCCAGAATGCCGCTTCAAGGGTCTTTCACCATGGATGTCTAGGACTGGCGTCTTTGCTTGCGGCTGTCTCATCTTCTTCATCTCGGGGTTCAGTAAGCTTTTCTGTCTTACTAAAGTGTTAAGTTCCCTCTTCAAGGACGATATACTGACCAATATATTTTCCGAAAATAGACTTGGCACTCATGGGTAGCGTTTCTTCTCTTAGTTCATACCTCAAAGTTGTTGGTCTGGAAGATGGGAGCTAGCATTCCCAACTTCTCATCGGGCTTATCAACGCTGTCTACTGGATTGGGGTCATCATAGGCGCCCTGCTGGTCGGCTCCTTCTCCGACAAAGTTGGCCGTCGCCGCGCGATTGTGTTCACCGGAATTTTCGCTCTCATCGTTGTTCCCTTCTTTGCCCCTCTTCAAAATTTTGCGTGGGCTTTGGCATTCCGCTTCATCGACGGACTCGCGACCGGATCATTCGATTCTGTCGGACTAAATTACTCAGCTGAAACGATAGACCATCGACATCGAGGAAGAGCCATTGGTTTCCAGCTGTGTTGCGCGGTGTCACGGGCTGGAGCCCTGTGTGGGCTTAGGCTACGCCGTAAGCCTTACGAGCCGTGCGTACGTACTTAAGTGCAGCAGAATGAGCAGAGGGATCTGTTCATTACGTACCTTTTGGCTGAATAAGCCCGGGTGCGCATTTAGCGCAATGGTTTGTTGTGTCTGCTGCTACATTTGCCCTTGTGGGGCCCACACCGTTACACGCGGCCACAGGCGCTGGCATCGCATACTTCATCCCGTTTGGGTTAGCAAAGCAGACGTCAAGCGAGGTTGTCTGGCAATTTCCTCTGGCTTTTCAGCTCGTTTTTGTGCTCATGGCGCTCTCCATTGTCTGTTTTCTTCCGGAGTCACCCAGGTGGTTGGTTAAAGTAGGCCTTGTTGAAGCAGCACGTGATGTTATCGAGGCTGTTAAGCATGTCGACGATCCAATGGATCTTCGAAGTGCTGTCGAGGCAGAGTTGGAAAGTAACGGAAACTATATGTACCCACAACTACCTAAATGCAGTAGAGGGATCTCTCTTTTGTATATGGCGCAACGGTACAATTCCGAATTCTATCAAAAAGCATCTCTCGAACGATCGACATGGAGCGAAAACATAATTCTTCGACAAGCTACTGGGCGATGTTCACTGTTCGTGACGAGCTGAGCACAGCACGTCGAACATGGTCTGCCATCTTCATTCAGTTTACGACGCAGGCCATGATCGGGGCAGGGTTCGTGTCCGGCTACGGCATCAAAATCTTCGAAACGGGCGACTGATCGTCTGAATTGGCCGCACTTCAGGCATGGGTATTTGTTGGTATCACAGGCGTGATACATTTCCTCATGAGGGTGTATCTTCGGCAACAATCACGTCGATGTCCGTGATAATTGCTGTTGTTGTTCTTGTTACTTCCTATTTTACATTGTGGGCAGGGGTCGGTCGAAGTAGGTGGTGACGGCCTGGGTGGTTGCCCCACCTTAACCGGCCGTGGTGACTAAGCCAGTTGTCCCACTTCGCCCAGGGCAGGCGCCAGCCAGCCCACGATACCTGCCCATTGCTCCTTATCAGCCTTGCTGTTCCGACAGTATTCTCACCCAAGCTGCCTTTGGAGTTCCAGGCACCTTGCTCTCTGACAAAATAGGTCGTCGAAATGCCATGATTGGTGGAGCTGCTGGCGGAGCTGTCGTTCTGGCTCTGATTGGCATGTGTGGCTACTTTGTCGACAATTATGCCGACTCTGACCCAGCACTGGCGAAGTCTTACGGGTCAGCGACCGTTGCGCTGGTCTTCATATGGGCAGCAATTTTTGGTTCCACGTGGCGTAAGTTGTCGACCTCCTTGATGATGGAAACCTCCTCGTCCAGCTATCCACTCCAGTTGCTAGAGCTGACTCTTGGGTAAACAACAGTCTGGTGCCCTTTCACGTATCCCTCGGAGATCTTCCCAGCTCAATCTCGTGCTAAAGGAAGCTCGGTGGGCATAGTTGGTCTGGGCCTTGGTTCTTTCTTCTCCAGCATGATCAGTCCTTACTTGTTCACTGCAGTCGGTTACGGAGCGCTGTTCATGATCTGTGGACTAAGTAATTAATCCCAAAAATCATCAATCCCAAAACATTGTGTCTTAATCCCAAAAATCATCAAACACCATGCAAGCTTCACGGCCATTCCGGACGCGGCGCCAAACACCAAGAGTACCCAAAGCATGTTGCCAATGTCGAGCTGGTAGAGTGAAGTGCGATGGAGTCAAACCACAATGTGGAACATGTGCGCGTCAATCGCGACAATGTGACTACAACGCAGTTGATGGCCGAAAGCAACGCCATACCGAGGCTGAGTTTGCAGCTCTTAGTAGCCGGGTAGCCTTCCTTGAAGCCCAACTCAATGGTAATGGACTTCTTGCCCATAATGACAGCCATATATCCTAACAAGATGAAGAGAAGCTTTGCCTTCTATGACTGAGGATCATGAGCCTGATTTTGATGACAAAGGTGAAGGCAACGTTGTCTACAGCACCCCTGAACATTGGCAGATTGATAGCCTCTTTCCAACTTCAGACTTTATCACTCAATCGCAATCTTCTCCTCTGAAGAGCTTTGCATCTATCTCCGGAGGCTTTCTACACGATGGCAAAAGCGGTAGAATTTTCTATGTCGGACCAACTAGCAATTTGCACCTCGCAAAGGCGACGGCGTCGTGCCTACCAACATCAAAGCTCGCAACTGCTGTGACCAAACCGAGAGAACTTTCGGCTTTGCCAGAAAACGATGAGCTTGTTGGTTGCTACTGGGAGTATTTGTCTGCCCATTTATACTCCACGAGTCGCAGTCCGAAATTCAGCGCGTCATTCGGCAGAACTATCTTCTACACATAGCAGTACTCGCTATTGGTGCATTCTTCTTGCTGAAAGAGACCTATGATAGATTCAGGCTAGATCGAAACCTCCTGATTGACTTTTATCTCGAAAGGTTCACAAGAGTCAGCGGCAGAGAGACAGAGAATGCCACCATACTCAATATTCAGGCGTTTCTTTTGCGATCCTATCCAGCTATCATGCAAGGGAAAACGGACAGCGCCACAATTTTCCTCGGTAACAACGTCAATCTTGTTAGTTGTCATTTTCCAGGTGACTAATTTTGATTTAGGAATCGCTTGCAACATGGCTAAAGTCATGGGCTCGCATGTCAAGCCAGCCAGTGGGTCAGATTCTCAGCCCATTCTCTCCACCGACAGCGAGACATCAAGAAAACGAACATTCTGGGCTTGCTTTTGGATGGATAGGTTAGTGCTCGAAGACCACAGGCGCCTGAGGTAATCCTTGAGCTAATTGATTGCTGCGGTGAGGCGTCTCGCTATGCTTGAAGGCCGTGCTGTACATTTGACGGCTTGTAACATCTCCGTAGAGTTTCCGGCGTGCGAATTTCTTCATCAGGACTCAGAATCGAATGGAGGACAGGCCACGCCAGAAATGCTTTATGCTCTTCACCTGGAATTTTCCGATATGCAAGACAAGTCTTTGTGTAAAATGTGCGTGCCTCGGTGGATGATTTGCAGTCTCCAATGAACCAAAGCTTATGCTAATCATGGAACCTATAGATACTCATTTTCTTCCTCATCAAGCGTGGGAGATGCAATATCAGATGGCAATCTTCGGTACATCACTTGGCTTAAGAACCTTCCACCCACTTTGCGGAATACGAAAAAGTCAGAGTACTCTTTAGCAAGCTTTATATCGCTTCAGTAAGTCTCACCATTGATCAGCATTTGGCCATCACTCATTCAGAGCCTGTAGCTTGTGTTACCATGCTGGCATGATCCTCTTGCACCGCCCCTCGTTCCAAGTTGACGGCGAACAAGATCGCCTCGCAAACAGTCCCTGCCTGGAATCTGCATACGCGATATCAGGGCTCCTCAAAGCCTACCGAAAACAATTTTCCAATCTAGTAGTCGACTTCATGGTTCTCCATGCCGCCTTCACGGGGGCGCTAGTTCACATGATAATGCTCGAACACTCCGCTGTTGCATCTTATCATAAGTCGATGCGAGCTTTGAGGGCCATTGTTGAATTCTTGGGTTGGGTAATTCCTCATTCGCAATATGCGAGGAGCATTCACCAAGATCTGCAAACCTTTGCTTCAACTTGGTCCATATAGCCCATCAACTCGGCGATTTTCTGGGAAGCGTGACTTAGAGGAGTTCCAGGTTTGGATAATTAAGGGTTTAATGACACTCTGAACTGATCGTTTTGGATCGAAATGGTATTACCGGCGGTAGCCAGCTAAAAATGGGGTGTCCTTCAATGTTGCTAAGCTCGGCCACTCGCTTCCACTAGGTAATTTAGCGAAGGATATGGATATAAATACTGGAGGAGCTGAGCCACAATAGCAAGTTGTTCAGGTGCGGGGAGTATAGCAGTGTTTAGTTCTAAGCGGTCCAACGGGAAAGGAGTCAATCAAAGCACTTTGTGACGCCAAGCTTGCTGTGCATATCTCGGCTATTAAACCCTGACACTTTTTGATTTCCCACTCCTACTGCTGCCTAGACTCGAGAACCCGTGGACAACATATTATCCCAACGAGCTTGGCTCCATGATAGCATATGTTTTTTCTACTTCTGGATTGAAAACTCAGTGTCCTACGCTGCGAAGACTTTGGGCGATATTTGCTCTGGTGAGCAACACTTGGGATGGATGAGAGGCGCCCTACAACGCCGAAGCCTCTGCGCGAGGTGCCACAATGTCTTGGCTGATTCGCAACATCTCGCCGAGGCTATCTCAGACGCCGGGTTGCTCATGCAAGTCGCGATGATCGAACTTTACGAGAGCGCAGAGCTCCATTCTTGCCGGATGTGTAGTGTTTTCCTCTACATGGTAATACACTCTACGTGGCGAGGCTTTTATTAGTGGACAATGTCAAAGTTCGTTAAAGTCCACGGCGCCTACGACACAGTTCTTAAAGTCCGTGCTCTTCTCCGTCCTATCGATCAAAGAGCATCAGACTGCGACATTCATGAGATGCTTGTGTTCGGAAAGCTGATCGGCAGTGGAGTTGAGCTGCGCTATCACAACGAGTCACATTTAAGATTCAAAGTCTATGCCGAAGAAGGTCAGTTGGTCGAGCGTTTCATGTGGAATATTGACTACCATCTGACTTCGGCTCTGTTTGAATGATTATTAGGGGAAGAAGCTGCTGCGTTTGTGAGTTCAGTGGATGCTGATGGGCATTTCAACTCCGAAGCTGCATTTTCGCGCGTTCGGTCGTGCATGTCAACATGTGACGAGCAGCATACGGATTGCTTGAGGGACAGCACTGGGATACGTCCTTCAAGATTGCTCGATTTATCGATCACAACGACAATGAGACTACGCGATGCGCACGTTACCTACGATCAGTACGCGGCACTTAGTTACTGCTGGGGTGGGGATCAGCAGCTAAAGATCACCCGCTCTACTCTTGCCCGTGAGTTGCCAGTTTATCAATTAATAGTATACAATCGTTGATACATGTACACAAAGCGCTGACAGAGATACCAGAAGCCTATTTGGGGATAGACTTGGCCTCTTTATCAGCGACGATACAGGACGCTGTCAGGGTTGCTAGGCGATTCGGTGTCGACTATCTCTGGGTTGATGCACTTTGTATCGTTCAGGACTCGCCCGAGGATAGAGAAGTGGAAATGAGTAAAATGGCAAGCATCTATCAGAATGCTTGCATTACGATAGTCGCGGCAAACGCAAGCGATGCTAGTCGGGGGTTCCTAGCCTCAAGAGACTCTCCACGCTCGCTGGAACCCGGATCGCTACCTCTCCGCTTTCAGCTACCGATAACACTGGAAGGAAAGGTTCAAAATATAGGACTTGAGTACTCCAAGTGGGATAACGCCTTGTCTCCAGAACCTATCGATAAACGGGCCTGGGCCTTTCAAGAGTCCTTGCTTTCCAGAAGAGTCCTGATCTACGGAACGTCGACAATGACCTGGCGTTGCGGTAGTGGCGTCCAGGCCTGGAGGTCATGGATACGCGAGCACCAAAAGACTATGGTCGGGTTCTTCTTCCCAAATATGGCAGTGGCGATTCTTACAAGGCGACTTGGAAAAATCTCGTGACCTTATATGGGCGACGTCTCCTTACCTGCTCCGAAGATAGGCTGCCAGCAATCTCTGCACTCGCAAGCGAGGTCCTGCGTCTTACCAAAGAAGGCGGCGGAGAACCAGGAAGGTATTTAGCAGGTGTCTGGGAAAATGATCTCCTCAATCAGCTGATTTGGTTCACGAATCTGGAAGAAGGCCGTGACGTGCGACGCATACCATACCGCGCTCCTAGTTGGTCCTGGGCGTCAGTAGAGTCTCCTATATTGTATTCGCTACCACGCATCGCAATGACTGCGAGCGAGATCATGGGAGATTCAGACACAGATCTGGAAATTATCGAGTGTGGTGTCACGCTACTATCCGAGAGGGCGCCGATGGGCGAAGTTATTGGGGGCAAGTTGTGTGCTCGAGGCTCTCTGGTCCCGGGCTCCAGCATGCCAGACCATGAACTTTGGGGTGCAGGCACATTCCAAAATGCGCCAGACGTTGTGCTCAAACTAGACTGCCATGCGGCGGGCGAGAAGACCGCAATTATGAAGGCGATGTCTTGTCATTGGCTTCGAGTGCGGCATGAGCATGGACTTGTACTTGAGCATCTTGAGGGCAACGTCTACAAACGCATTGGCTACGTTATGTGCACCAGATGGCCAACACATGCATCAAACATCAAGAGTACGTATGTCGACATTATATAAGGTCAAGCTGGCTCCTCGGCCTGTATGCAAGATACATGTTGGTTCTGTAAGGTAAGTAGGTACATGCGAGAAGAGTGCCGGCTATCATGCCCTGTACATTGGTCAGAACAATGCCGGAAAGGGAACTCGAAAACGTGTAGATATCCACAACTCACCGCATTTGATTCAGTGTCTTAGAAAAACTAAAAGTATATCAGAAGTATCAATTTTCCAGGCTGATACACGTTATCTCCACAACAGAGTCGAAATTCTCGAGAAACTTCACCTACGCCCACGAATTATCGCCCGGAGGATAAAGATTACTCGCTCTTAGCCCCAAATTCTAGTAGAGCATGTTGCTTGTGTGCAATTGACCGGTCAAAACACTCTCAAGAGCTTCACCAAAACCCGAACCTCACTGCATGACAAATGGAGTTGTCAACCAATAAGTAGATACTCAAATCACCAACGAGAGTGGCTATTCTTTCCTGTTTCATCTGTGGAGCGGCAGGGCGTACCGAGATTGGGCACGATCTCGGCGCTGACATTGGCCGACCGAACACAACGGACCCTGTGCTCCAACTCCCCCCCTCTGGAATGTACAACGTGGTCCCAATTAAATGGGACACACCGCAACTTCAATCACCCAGCTAGGCCCCCAACTCAACCGCAAGCTAAGCCTTCAGCTCACATGTGAGATTTCAGCCTCAATGCGCCATCCCTAACGCCCTGCCGCCCTTCCAATAGACTCCGGAAACGACCAACGTATCTGTACACCGAAGGGGACATTCGAAGGCACGTTTAGAAACGCCCATAATGCCCTCCATCCTCGCCACGGCGATCCAGTCTTCGTTACTCAAGGGCACCGCAAACTTCACGGCGCAGATCGTCAACCAGCACAGGCTGGCGGGCGGCAGCGCCCCGGCCCCGCTCGACGTCCGTCGCGTCCTCGAGTTCGCGACTTTTGGCTTCATACAGGGCCACATCAACTACTGGTGGCAGCACTTTCTCGAAGACCAGTTCCCAAATTCGGCATCGTCGGCCCGCGGCAGGGGAAGGAAGGCGTCCATCGTTGAGCCCAAGATCGAGAAACCCGAGAAACCCGAGAGGGCGGCGCCCAAGAACTACTTCAATGTCGCCCGTAAGGTCCTCGTCGACCAGACCGTCGGCCTGTTCATGATGAACTCGGCCTTTCTTCTCATCACGTCGGCCCTGCGCTTCGGATTCTCTCCGATCGTCTACCAGATCTGGAGTGAGAGGATATTCGACCTGATCAAGGCAGCATGGAAGTTTTGGCCTCTGGTGGCTATGCTCAACTTCGCCCTCGTGCCCGTGGGGTATCGAGCGCTGGTGGGCATGTGTGTTGGGTTTATATGGAACATGTTTCTCACGTTTTTCCTTTTGTAACTTGCATGCCGGAAGGCTTTTCATTCTTTCTCTTTGTGCACATCATGGGTTGCATCAAAAAGCATGGAGTTCTTTATCGGGTTCGAAATGGTTGATGCATGTATTCTTGCGGTTTGTCTGCTACCTGGCTAGTCTTGGGCAGAAGACGGGCCGCGCGGAGGAATTCTCGCCATAATCAATTGACTGCTCACAGCTCACCATGAACGGCGGGCTTGGCCGCCTTTCCGCTTGAAGACTTTTCATCCCCTGTCTTAGGTCCGAGTATGGTGAAAATGACCCGGCGATAGGAAATCAGTGTGCCGTCAGAGACCTCAAGAATGAGATGCATGTGCTTGTCCTCCTTCGGATGACGATTCCTGCCTGGAGCACGAAGAACTTCCTCTGAAGGCATGGTGACTGTGATATTGGGAGCGTTAGTGTCACTCAGTTTGAGCCTGCCGACATCTCTCCCCGGATTGTTGTTGTTTGATGATGGCTCCAAGTACTGCCACCAATTGTACGTCAACTCCCCTCCATCCGGGTCGCAAGACTCTCTCGCATCGAGTCCGATGACGTCCTCCTCATTAACGACCATATTCACAACCTTGCGAGACGTGTCTCCATTCAACACAACGACTGGGGCATGCTGAGCATCACCGAATTCAGGACTGGCGGACCACTTGATACGGGCAGCAAAGTCGTTCTGAAACGACTTGCGCCATCTCCACACAGTAGCCTGCGAACTCATGATCATCCTTCCTGAAACCCCTTTCAGGACGTCCACCGTGTCCGCGTAATGACCCTCGCCGTAGGTGACGGGTCCATATCGGCCACCCCAAGATCCCCATTCCTGATATTCGGGGTCGGAGAGCCCGTTGGGGATCAGGTAGAGAAGCGAAGGTGTATCGCCCTCAACGATGAAATCGGCATCAGGATACTTCGCCCCCAGCGGTCCGACGCTCTGGATATTCTGCCTGATCCAATCTGGCGATATGACTTCCTGGTTCGAGAAGCTCGGAAAGTTGTAATACTCCTCGCCCGAGATACCACGCCACGCGGCAACGGCATATCGGTTGAAGTGGTGGACACTGGCAATGTAAAAGAGTTGCGGCCAGTTTCGACGGATCCACGAGCCGGTGTTGTCCTGATCGGAAATCGTATAGACCCGGAGCTTGGCGACGAAGGTTTCGATCTGGGACGGCGATCTCGTCGCGTTGACGTGCCACAACGCCTGCGCCAGAACGGACGCCCCTCCCCATACCGGGACCCAGAGCGGCTCGTTCGAGGCGTCGACTGCCTTTACTAGCCTGTCGGAGCCCTCGCTGTCCTTTCCTTCGCCGACGCCGTCCATGCCGTAGACCGGCAAGCCGGAGGCAATTAGACCCTTGAGATAGGATGCTTCAGGCCAGCCGAGAGCATGTTTCTTTAGGTTTGGTAATGCCTCGCCGTATGCGTCGACGATATTGTGCATCTGGTCTGGGCGGCTGGTGTCATTTAGCCAGACACTCGTCGTCGCCACAAGACCTTCAATATGAAGTTCATTGGTGTAGACAAGAAGGCGTACGAGCGATTGCGCATCGTCGGGCTCGTTGGCGATGTCACTCAAGAGGAATACGCGGGGCTTTTCAGGGGTTGAGGGTGTGCATTGTCACGCGAGTGATGTTACGATGCAAGAAAAGAGTAAGGCAACTTTGATAAGACGTGATGAGCAATGCATTGTGAAACATTGACAAAAAGAACAAGACTCGAGTGATCAAACAACTTCAAGATGTTTACTTCTCCAGCTTCCTGTGAGGGGAAGTTTTTGTGGTGTTTCGCAAACCCAAAGCTGTCGACGCTTCTGATTGCCTCGTTAGGGAGGAACAAATATGGGTCAAATGTCACCGCCAACCTGAACATTGCGTCAGTCAAGAACTTTCGGACTTCCATCCGAGTCTGAGTACATGTTGCTAAGGTAGTGGTCGAAAAAGTCCAGATGAGGAATCAAGTTGGCCAACAGATATCGCGACAGCGACAGATACTAAGCTTTATTGCAGGGAAACTCGTGTAATAGGCATGCAGCACCCAATTGTCACAGCGCGATAGTTTGTGCTTCCGCGATTCTGCCCGCCAAGGCCGCCTTCCCAGGAGGCCATACCGCGACTTTTCAGTATATCAGACCAGAAGTCCCCATCACTTCCATCCCTAGCAGAATTTGCTGGGAAAATGAGTAGGGAATTTGAGAGGTGCTCTCACTACGGCATGTCTTTCACAGCGCTTTTCCAGGACGAGCGACTCGAAACTCGCTTCCACAAGCCTTCAAATCTGGGTCTAGCGGCAATCTCGTCGTATAAGCCAAGTAACTTGATGAAAGGCATCCAGGTGAAGACATAGACGTCAGCGAGGCTGAAGTTCTGCGATCGAGTTAGACCAGTCTGTCCATAAGGTGAAATAGTTGTGATTAGAAGAGGTATAAAAATCTTACGTTTCCCGCTAGGTAAGCGTTGGAGCCAAGAACGTCTTCGTAATAATCAAGCCCAGCCCTGAACATTGCGGTTGCCTTCTCTACTTCGAGAGGGTTCGCGGGCTCTGCCGGACTAAGGTGGTCATTCAGTCAGTATAGGGTCTCAACTCGAGCAGCCAACGTAGTTCGGCCTTACTTCTTCCACAGCTTCTCGTTGCACAGAGTCTTGACTGATGGGTCAAAATAGGAGTATTCAATACTGAGGGCCTTCTCGAAGTTCCCAATCTTGACCGGGTGACCGCTCATGATGGCATCGAGCGAGGTAGAGGGCCCGCCAAACTTGGCGACGAGATAGCGGCAGATAGCTCGGGATTCAAAGAGTTGAAGATCTCCATCTTGTATGACGGGAATGCGGCCAAATGGGTGTTGTTCCTTGAGATAGGCCGGATTCTGATATAGGTTGTCAGACTCATGTATGAAGATCCGTGGACAACATCTTGCAGGCCACAATTACGAACTTTATGTTCCCCCTTCATGAGGTTAACTTGAGTCAAGTCGTACTTGAGCCCGAGTTCATTGAGAGTAATTAGCACTCTGTGAGTGCAGGCCGATGTAGCGGAGCCCCAAAGCTTGATTGACATTGTAGCGTGTTGGACCTTGAATGTCTTCGGTAATTAGAGAGAAAGTCGAAGTGCTTTTGCTTGGAAGGAAAGTGAGACTATGAACTCAAGAAGAACGAATTGCCGCCTGACGAAGAAGCACCATATTCAAAACATGGCGACTCAAAGTATTTTATCCAGCTACCGACGATAAATTAAAAACACGCAGGTGCTGATGGTATGAGTCCGACGGCAAGTGTTGAAACGTCACTTTGCTTCGTAATCAAGGGTGATGACTGCCGAGCTACGACTCTAAGGCCCGTCGACCTCTACCAAGAGTCAAATACTCATCGCATCGCTGGTAGTGTAGTGTCATGATACGAATTTGGCCAAAATGAAGCAACTCACTGGAGTTGTCATCTGGCCCGGCCATAAAGGTGCAACTATTCGGAGGAACGTGCGTAGTGGTGTCCGTGACGGGCCGGCTCAATGCTCATAGCTTTATAAGCCTCCTTCTGCAAGATAGCATGAAAACCCCTGTCTACTTATCCATGACCTTCTCGTTGCTAAGTACTCGCAGTTCGGAATCGTTTAATAGATATCGGCATCGTAGTCTGGTGCATCGATAGCAACAGTCAGTTCATTGCACCGCAGGGCGGACTCCGGAGAACATCACCTTGGATAGGCCAAATTATCAGGAAGGCTGTGATGACATTTGTTAGATGCACATGCAAATGACTCTTTCAATTGCTATCTTTGTTTACTTGAAGAGCCTGAATATGTTGGTTATTGAGATGCAACAAGGCAATTGCTCTCGTAATTGCTAAATTTTATGGTCTGGCTCACTCAAGAGCGAACTACAGAATGGTATACTGTCACGAATCAGCAT